GAGTTGAGATGTCTTCAATCTTATTTTCCTTCATCTTTCTGGTCAGAAGCAGTTTTTAACTTGGTGGTCTTCTGCCTCATTTCCACTGAGAGCTACAGCATTGGTCTGTTTCTATCGTAAAACCAGGACCATAAAATAGCATACCAACCCACTCAGTGGACACAAGGCATTCCTTTCTGTTAAGTGAATGTCAGCAAAGGTGTCCCTCAGAGCTGTGTATTAGGCTCAAAGCTTCCTCTAGATCACATTAATAACATGGGCCAGAAACATCTCTTTGGTTCTTAAGTGTTTTAAATACACAATAGCCCTGGGGTTTGCAGGTTGACATAATGCAGCTGACTGTGACTAAACACTGGAAAGACACACAAAAAGAAAACCTCCATAGTATTTACATACATTTACAATATTGGATTTGTGGATTTTCATAAATATCTTGGTGTTTTATTTGATGAAAACTTTTACTATATTGAACATCTGAAGTGCAGCAGATAAATAAGCACTCTTTTTCACTTGACATGAAAAACCACTTGGTACAGCCGCCTTCTCACCACACAAGTCATTATAGTGACAGTATTTGTATAAATATTCCTATTGGCTGGTCTTTGTCTAGGAATACGGAGATTTATAACAGAATGTAAACCTCTGACCCCACCTCTCACTCTGACTTCACTTTATAGTTTTTGGCACCAATGTTTACATGCAGACTGTTGCACTAGTATATTTTCGTTTTCAAATCGATAATTGGCTTCCCACTGCCACTGTTTCTAGCTTCCTATATGCAACAGAGAGAGGCTACAGCATCCTGTGGAATTCAGTGTCATTTTTGCCTGAATAAGTAGAGGTAGAGCTAAGTTTGTTGGTAGCAAAGTTAAATTCTAAGAAAATCTGTCTGTAATATTACTGACTCTACCTTATTCTAACATAAACACAATTTTGAGAAATTTGAGAAGGGTTAGGGTTAGACTCAGTATTGTGAAATTTTCCAAACTTCAAACCCAAACACTATGATGCTGAATTTAGTTTAGAGCTTGCCATGAACGTCTAATAACAAGTACCTAAAAAAAAAAGTACTGCCCTGGTTATAAGTGGAGAGCAGCCAGACTTTCTTTTTTACTTTTTTGTATTTCTGCTTCTTTTTTTTTTCTTTTTTTTTTAAAGAAGAAAATGTCTTTACTTTCTCTATATGTTTGCAACGAGAATACAGTGCAGAAAATGGTGGTTTAATGCTTTCATTGCTGGAAATCATCAATCTGACACTGCTGACTCAGCTTTTCCCAAACCATTATCTATTTGAAATGGGTAAAATTAAATTATTGCCATGTTTTGTTCAAATGTGCCTGAGCTACAACTAGACCAATAAACGGAGTTAGCTAGAAGGAGGCTGAACTTTGTCCCCTTCTTCTCCTTCACACTGCAGCGCCCCATCACTACGCTCTGTTGGGGTCACAGAGACTCGCGTCTGTTCTTGGCGTCAGGCCCGGCGCTCTATGCAGTTCGAGTGGATCACCGGGTTGCTGCGCTACAGCTTCTCTGCCAGCAGGTCATCGCCACAGCCGTGAAGGAGGAGAAAGATGTCGCCAAGCTCACCATGCCTTCCCGGCTCTGTACATACGTCACTGCTGCTTTCGCCCCCACCATCAAGGTAACACGCGGCGGAGGATCCAATTAGCTCAGTGGGAGAGTAGTAAAAGGCTGAAACTAAATGGAACTGATAGTCTAATATTGATGAACTAAACAAAACCAAGTGTGGTAACAATTGTTGCATGACAAACTTTGTGTTTCCAGCCGCCCATCCCAGATCCCAACAACATGCGGGACTTTGTGAGCTACCCGACATCCGGGAACGAGCGACTGCACTGCACCATGAAGCGCACGGAGGATAACCCGGAGGTGGGCGGGCCGTGCTACACGCTGTACCTGGAGTACTTGGGTGGTCTGGTGCCCATCCTGAAGGGTCGACGGATAAGTAAGCTGCGCCCCGAGTTTGTCATTATGGACCCCAAAACGGATGGAAAAACAGGTGGGCCTGCATTTCTTCTTGGATCAGTAACTTTAAAGAACTCATAGGAAATACGTAAAGAACAGAAAGATTTCTAGCATCCTCTAGAAGTTTTACAAATTTAATAATAAAGCGATTTATTGGGATTGGACTCGTATTCATAAAAAAGATTTTTTTTAAATGGAGAAACATTGAAGAAAATAATAAAAAATAAAAATCGTTTGAGTAGAATATTAGTAAATGTTTTATTTTTTAAATTTTAAAAAGCTTTTTATGGTTGGAAAAAAAAAAAAACTCTCCATGACTTTTTAACCAACAACAATTTTATGTTTAATTGTCTCTTTACTGCCAGAAGCAGCATCAACATACTCATTGATTGAACTTTTTATTTGCGTTTTGAGAGCTGCACATTTAATAAACTGTGACTTCTCATCTTTTGTTTCGTCAGATGAGATATACAGCAACAGTCTGATATCAGCCATGATAGACAGCTGTAACTGCTCAGACTCCAGTGATATTGAGCTCAACGACGACTGGGTTGGCAAGAAATCTCCAAAGATATCCAGAGGAAGCAAATCTCCTAAACTTCCCAGGTAACTCAATAAGAGACTTCACGTGAATGGTTTTGCAAAATGATATTCATCAGACCAAAACCTACATAGAGGTGGTTAGATTATTTTTCTAACATTTTGTCAGAGTTGTCTTATAAAGCCTCAAAAAGTCTGCAGTAGAATAGAAAAATATATTTTTAGTATTTAGTAAATCTTAAGTAGGGGGAAAAAATAGAATGTCCTTACTTTAGTTCTTTTTCTTTCTATTTTCTGAAAGATTATTTGAATTTCTGTGCACACAATTTTTTTAGTCAAATGTTTTTAGTTTTCCACTCCACAACTTGAGTTTTTGTCCAACCTATTGATCATTTTGGTTTTTGAAGCTTGGGATAAGATTTTAAAATCCCAGTAAAATACATTGAAGTTTATGGCTATAATGTAATAAATTTGTAAAAGCTCAAGTGATATTATTAATTACGTGATGGAAACATTTTAGTGGAATGTCTCTGTTTTTTGTGTTTCTTGCATGCCTAAACCTTCTTTTTTTATTTGCTACCTTCTCTGTAGAGACTTAGTTTGTCCCTTTACCAACAGGATAAATATTGACCCCAGAAAATCACCCAAGCTGTCCCGAGCAACACAAGAAATCTCTAGGTCGCCACGGTTACCCATAAGAAAACCCTCGATTGGTTCACCGAGTCTCTCACGGAGAGAATTCCCTCTGGATGACATCAATCAGGTAACTAGAAGATCGTGTAAATGTTGCAGGGCTCACTAAGGGAGCTCGTTTTGGTTCATGTCACCATATTTGGTTTCTTTTCATAATTTTTTTTTTATGTTTTACAGCAAAATTACCTTGCTCAGGTCACATCCAATATTTGGGGAACAAAGTTTAAGATAGTGGGACTGGCCGCATTTTTACCTACCAATCTCGGTGCAGGTAACTCATCCACAGCCTCTCAATGAACTGGTATTATCAGCGTTCTTTCTTTTCTCATTTCACTCTTTTTGTTTCTTTCTTAGTTATCTATAAGACCAGCCTCCTCCATCTGCAGCCCAGACAAATGACCATCTACCTGCCTGAGGTGCGCAAAATCTCCATGGAATACATCAACCTGCCCGTTTTCAGCCCCAATGTCTTCAGTGAGGACGAGGACGACCTTCCTGTCTCGGGCCCCGCTGGAAGCACTGACGACAACCCCCCCTGTACTGTAAACATCCCCATCGCCCCCATCCACAGCCCTGCCCAGGCCATGTCCCCTGCCCAAAGCATCGGCCTGGTCCAGTCTCTGCTAGCCAATCAGAACGTTCAGCTTGATGTCCTTAGTAATACGACAGCAGCTCCTTCCGGAGCATCGGCTAGCAGTTCGGACCAAAGCCAGGACGCCATATTGTCGGCTCAGTACACCGTGCCCACCAGGTATTCCAGTCCGGGTCAGGTCATTTTTGGGGGGCTGGACGTAGGTCGGCTAATGGTTGGACCACCGCCGACCCATCATCCTTCGCAACAACAACAACAACAACAACAACAGAGTCAGCAGCAGCAGCTTCTACAACATCAACAAATCCAGCACCACCACCAACAACAGCAGCAGCAGCAAATCCCCCAGCAGCAGCACCATCTACAGCAGCAGCAGCACCATCTACAGCAGCAGCAGCACATTCAACAGCAGCTGCAGCAGCAGCTTCAGCAACACATACAGATGCAGCAGCATCAACAAATGCAGTTACAGCAACAGCAGCAGATGCATCACCAGCTGCAGTCTCAGCAGCACCATCTTCAGCAGCAGCTTCAGATCCAGATCCCTGCTCCGTCCCTGTCACCGGGGCAACCTTCGGGAACGGCCCTGCACCAGCTGCAGCCGGGGGCCCTGCAAATACAAATCCCCCACCAGCCGGCCGAGTTAGTTGTTGACAGAACGGCAGGCGGGGAGCACGAACACCTGCTGAAGATCAAAACCACTCGGTCAACGCCACAGCTAGCTGACGCCGATACAGTGGTGTTCAGCGCTCCTTTGGAGCTCAGCAAAATGAACCCGCCGCCTCCTTACCCCGGGACCGTGGCCGCGGCAGTTGCTGCTGCTGCTGCTGCAGCTGCTGCTGCTTCACCGTCGACGTCCAACGCAGCTTCCAGCTCCTCGTCTGGAACAGAAGGGGGCGCTAGTGGAACTCCTCCCCCTAGCGAGCTCTGCGTGAAGAAGGGTGACTTCAAACTTTATCCTCCAGGTCAGCAGCAACTACAGTACCCCACGCCTCTGGGCTACGAGAGGATAACGACGTTTGACAGCAGCGGGAACGTGGAAGAAGTGTGTCGCCCTCGAACACGCCTCGTCTGCAACCAGAATGTGTACACGCTCCAGGGACCTGGCAACTCTGCCACGCTCAGGGTCACTTCCTCTTCATCGTTGTCTGCAGCCGACAAGAAAATCCAGCTGCCCTACACCTCTGCTACACTCAACAGACTCACCGCACCCCGCTACTCCATACCAAGCGGAGACCCACCCCCTTACCCCGATTCGGCCAATCAGAGCGGAGCCGCCGGGAGGAATCCGAACCAGCGACTCGACAGCAGCTTGATCCACGCCACCCTCAGGAGGAACAGCCGAGAGGCCGCGCTTAAAGTCTCCCAGATGCTGGAACCGCCACGACCGCTTCCTCCGAAGGCTAAAAACAGTCCACTAGCGCCCTCCTTCCAGCAGAGGGTGCCAACAGCCTTATACACGTGCAGCCAGTGCAGCAGTGGATCAAGTGTTGGCAGTAGTGCTCCAGGGAGCGCTAATGGGATAGCAGGGGGAACGATTATCAGGCAAGATTTCCCTCCAGGGAACGGCGCTCCACACAGCACAGTGATAGTTCACTCCAGCAGCGCCGCTGCTCTGGCCTCCCAGTCCTCATACAGCCTGATGAGCTCACTGGAGGGGTCCGGGAGTGCAGCGGGAGCAGGAGGGAACAGAGACCGGGCTGAGTATGTTAACTCGGCTTTTACTGAGGATGAAACACTCAACCAGTCGCTGAGGCATTTGGTAATTGGAGGAAATGATGCATCAGGGCTTGTCATCAAACGCCCACCTCCCTACCAGTGGGACCCGACTGGCACAGAGGAGGTGTGGATACCTCAAGAGAGGACAGCAAATGCCCCCCCTGGAGCGCACAAGCCTCCGCCCCTCATTCTCAGCCCGACTCAGCACTTGGATGTTACCAGACTGCCTTTTGTTCTTTCTCCAAAGTCTCCCACCAGCCCTGGCGCTGCATCATTCCAGGCTGCAGCAGCAGCAGCAGCAGCTACAGCTACAGGCTACCAAATCTCTCTGCAGTACCCCCCAGCAGCAGCCTATGCTGGAGCTCAGCTCCAACCCATCCCAGGGTCGCCGCGCCCCTGCGCCTCCCCTAAGGAAGTTGTGGCACCCGTGGCCCTCTCACAGCAGGACGCGACCCTTGTCTTGTCGCCGGGTTACTCTCCAAACATAGCAAACCTCGCCTGCTGTCCCCTTCCTCCCTTGTATCCCGGAGGAAGTTCCTGTGCTGGAATCCCCATCCCTCCCATCGCCCTTCACACACCGTGGGGAACGTACAACCCTTGTCCGCCTATGCCCAGTCCTGCAGTGCCACTACCACCCAAAGCCTCCCACGTATCAGCAGACAAAAATGTTCTCTCACCTCCTCCTCCACCTCCTCCACAGCCTCCACCACCAGCAGCAGACCCACAGAGCCACGGGGCGTTACAGGAGACAATAGCAGAGCCAGGGGACGCTTACCAGGAGGTGTTGTCTTTGACTGAGAGCCCTGTACCACAGCGGTCCGAGAAGTTCAGCAAGAAGAACCGCAAGCGGATGGACGGCCGGGCGGAAGAGGCCAACGTGTCTCAGTTAGCCGAAGGCAGCAAGTCGAAGAAGGAGGGCAGGGCTCTGGGGGATTTCAACTCGCTGATCTCCAGCCCTCGACTGGGAGGAAGAGACAAGAAGAAGCTGAAGGGGCAGAAGGAGCAGCAAATGAAGGCGAAGAAGCTGAGTAAGGCCACAACCAACAGTGAGTTCCAGGACAGTTCAGAAAGCGAGCCGGAGCTTTTCATCAGCGGCGATGAGCTCCTTAATCAGTGCCAGAGCGGGAAAAAGGGCTGGAAGAGTAAAAGGAACCTGAGGGCTGCTAGCGAGCTTGATGAAATAAAGTGCCGGAAAGCCAATGAGAAGGAAGACAGAGGACTGGGCAGCCAAGGGTTTGTGTACGTGATGGCCAACAAGCAGCCTCTGTGGAATGAAGCCACACAGGTCTACCAGCTGGACTTCGGAGGCCGAGTCACGCAAGAGTCGGCCAAGAACTTTCAAATCGAACTGGAGGGTCGGCAGGTGAGTTGGGTTCAATTTTTATTTCAGAACCTCAGACGATATGTTCTCTCTGTTTTGTTTTTTGTTTTTATTTTTTCAGACTGCAACATTTACATTTCTTATGGTAAATTAAATATGTGCAGAGTTTTAAATATGGCTTAAATAGGAAAGAAGGCAATCTGTTTTTTGTTTGTAAAAACATAACTGAAGCACACCAGAAACTATAAATTAATATTACAATACAATGAGTCAATTATTATTGGTATTAAATTACAAACTAGAATGAAGTGGCATGTATGTGCTTTATTGCTATTCATTTTCCATAAGCATTCTAAATTATTTCCACCAAATTTTTCCCATTTATCCCAGTGTTTGGAAAATAGGTCTGTCTTTAAATTGACTGTGACTGTCATGTTTTCCATTTTGTAAATATCTACTGCTGTCTGAGGCCACTCTTGGGCGGTTGGTTCTTTTTGTACCATCCATTTTTGTATAGTTACCTTTTCTTCTGAACTCGTCCCAGAAACATAGTTTTGAAATTTGGCTGAATTTACATGCGCAATATATGGTTAACCCCGTTGTTTTTGTTAATCCAATATTTTTGGAGAATATTGCATTCCTATTTCCTTGTGTCTGTGCAAATCTTAATGTGTGTTTTAACATCCTAGGTGATGCAGTTTGGTAGGATTGATGGCAATGCCTACATCCTGGACTTCCAGTACCCCTTCTCTGCGGTTCAGGCTTTCGCAGTGGCTTTGGCCAACGTCACCCAACGCCTCAAATGAGACGTCCCCTCCCAGCACACCCCGACTCATCCCATGATTTTAAATGCAGCCTGCTGAAGGAGCACAGTTGTTTGCTTTGGAGATTCATACACTCTAATAAACTCAGTGGATTTTGGAGAAAAAAAAAAGACTGAAATCAACTGTGGTCAATAGATGGAAATGCAATCACACTGCACTACGCAATGCTGCCACTAGACATGGTGCAATAAGCATTGTTGACTGCGTTTTTTTTTTTTTTTTTTTTTTTTTTTTAAGCCCATTAAGTTT